CCCTCGTTGTCTGGTTGTTCACTCCTTGTATATTTGCCATTTATCGTGTACAAATCTCATCGTCTCTTAATTTTTACCATATTTTGTATATTCATATCATTTTTCACTTTATTCATTCATGTACTCCGTCCGAATTTGTATAGAACACGTATATAAAGCACGTGACACTTGTATATCACACATGTCAGTATTACGATAGTAGATTTCTTTGCAACGTTTCCACGTTATAGGTATCATAGTGTACAAAAAAATATTAGTCACAAAAATAAGGATGTTATGACAATCGTAGCACGATTAGCTATAGACGATTTGTCATATAATTATAACGGTCCCATTTATGATATTGTCGATTTATTAAACATTAAAGCTCTTATGCAGAGAAGTGACGTCGTTGTGTGGCCACGCCCGTTGTCGTCGAGATATACAGTCTCTAATTTCATTGAAGAAGTTCCAAACTTAATTGAATTACGTCGGTTATTACGGGATCATACGTCTGCTCGATTTAAAGAAAAAATAGCAAACGTTTTCTGATCAAAATAAAGCCAATGATAAAGACTCGATCTGTGGATTGCGTCATAGCGTAAGAGCTTACATTTCCTGCTTATTTTATTTAAAAACTACTGTTGGCGTGTTAAAAATGTTATACGATTAGTAATAATTGTCTACATGCGAATGCCGCCGACAACAGCGAATAATAGATTTACTCATGATTTTAAAGTATGCTGATACGGCCTTCATTACTATTTCAACGTGTGTTTGTAGGTTTAAATATAATGCGCCTTTATCCAATATGTTAGGATTTTGTATTTGTCCATTCCTTTGTTTCCTGTTATCGTCTTTATGGTTTGTTACAAATTTTAATGTTATTGAATATGCAATTTTGTAAATGTAGATAAGGCATGGTGCCTGTACGTAAACCGTTTATTTAACCCACACAATTGTTCAGCGCACGTTACATTAGTCCAAATGATTCGTTTCACTTGCGTATATATGGGTATGTGAGTATGTACCAACAGTTCCCTTTTGGCACAGTTGTCCGGAAGAATGGTAGTGAAGGGCTTGGTGCGGTCAGTGACCCCACACGTGCCGCAGCGTTACTGAAATCGCTATTGGGGCTAGTGAGTTCGTCAATTCTGTTATCCGAACCGAGAACGTCACAAATGTGGACAATGAACGACATTGTCTTTAAGTTGCTTAAACCAGTGACATACTTAGCGTTCCATATTTTGTCCATTGTTGGTTGTTTGTTGTTAGTGATGTAAGAGCAACTTACAACTTAGCTATACAAGTTGAAATTTGAGAGCTACATTACTATTAGTTGCATCTGTTAAACTTTCATCATTACCCATTACCATTACATTTTCACGCAGTTTTTGGTCCAGTCATCGCCTCAGGTTGAATAAAGTAAACCACCTACGTTTACTTATAAATTATATGATTTGCTAACGTTGTGTAACAAGTAGTACCAGTATAGTGCAATATTATGGTCTAACCGCTCGAACTAGTTATCAGTGGGTTGCCGGACGAATAATTTGGGCGTTGGGTGTAATCGCGTAGGTCGACTAAGCACCGACCTAAATGACAGATTGCATTTACTCTCTCTTTCTTTCTACCTTTATTCGTCAACATTACGTTTTCACCGCGTTTATTCACTCGTGTGTTGCATTGAGGATATATATATTTGAGATTATTTGCGTATAATAACATTTTTTATTTCAGTATTTTATGTGTTTGTTTTAGTGTAAAAACTACGTCGTTAGCATAGAGCATATTGAAATCATCAAATGCCTAGATTTTACGATTCACTTTCATGTAAACGAATAAAATTAAATCTTTCTAGATGTAATACATACGGATTGCAGAGGTAGTCTTTAGAAGTATTGCTATATATATTGATGGAAAAAATTGATAGAGTGTGCAAAAATTACCTTATAATGAAAATACAAAAACCGTGTAATAAAAATAAAATAATCGTGTCCCTTAGTAGATGCGACCATCTATTTAACTAAGTTGTATATGTAATAAAAGTTTTACTATTTAGTGTTTATTTCTTTACATTATAAAATAAATTTAAGTACATCTGCAACATGAATGGAATAGCAATGGTGCAATTCATTATGTAATTATATAATACATAGCACAAAGTGCTATTATCTATCGTTAACTTCAAGGCCGGACTTGAGGTAGGAGTAAAAGAAAGCTGGAATGCATTTCTTAACATTTTAATATAAGTTGTATATACGTGGAACACTGCAATAAATGCGTTGGATTTTGTATTTTTTTATTTTGGTGGCATAGAATTGAATAAAGGTCAACGTGCAGTTCTTATAGTCGAAAAATATCAACCTGAACTTCTTACCATTAGGTACCTAGTAACTAAGTGTTGGATATGAAACTATTCAAATGAACCAACCTTTCGGTCTCTCAGGTCCCATATTTACGGTTGACTGTATGTTTTTAATTATGTTGCTTCACTTAATTTATCAAGTTACACAATTGCTATGCTGTTTTAGGTTGTACAGATGAATGTAAAGATTCTATCCCAGGATGGCTCTGATTACCAGGATTATCTCTAATTAATATGGATGACTCTAGTCATCCAAATGTTACAAGCATTTTTACTAAAATTACACAGTTTTATACGCCATAACATGGCGAAAGTCGGTGCTGTCAATACAACACGTCTGTGACTTAATTTGTATTACTAACCATTGCCTCACATATTCCTTGCAATATCAAGACACAGACCGTAGTTATGCATAAAAAAAGAGGAGTTATAAAGAAGCCTTTGTCTGTGTATCTGTATGTAGCTCTTAAACAGATGGACTAGTAACAAAGTGGTTTTTTAAAGCGGTTGGTTTAGACGGGGTTGTTTTTTAACTTTTTAAAGATCATCAGCACTTTATCCAGTTAGTATAGGGATCTCATTTAGTTTGTAATTTAAGTTTCATACGTAGTGAACGTATTGACTTCAGATCACACCATTATCAGAACTATAATGAATTTCAAAAAAGAGTGTCTTTTTCGACATGACAAAGATGTATTTTACGTTATAAAAAATAATGGTAATCTTCCCATGACGTAAACGCATTTTTGAATAATTTCCATTTCACAAATAAGATGTACAAACTTTCGCTACAATACTATTGTTCTGGTTGTACTTCGTGTCGGAAATCCGGCTTCGCTATTTGGAGCGAGACTACAACGTGTAAAGGGTATAAAACAGCTATAAAATGGTTGAACTCATTGACATGACAGGAGCTTCGGATATCCGAATGGCGGTCGCGTCGTGTGGCATACGCAAGGCGACGCACTTTCTCCACACAAGCCTGTCCGTGTGACGTGACATAGATTTTCGGTTCTCATTCAGCACTTAGTCGACATTATAAGGTTAAAAAACGAATGGAAAGTTTAGAAATGCAATCGGTATGCAACTATCCGGTTTTGTGAATGACATTGGAATTCGTCGTATTGGTTCCTAGCAATGATTAGATGGAAATATGACATATGATTTAAGTCATAAGTAGATTGGAAACTGGGGAATGATGTTGTATCGTATCGTGGAAGGTTTTACGTACCTATTTCTCAATCATATTTATTTTTATGGAGTTTATGGTGTATCTGCGGGATGAATACAGGATGTGGCAGCGGACGTGTGTCGCGTTCATTGCAACGACAATTTGCAGGTTATGTTTTGAAACAGTAAAGTTCTTTAAGTACCTCTACATTGTGCTGTATTGGCAATATTGAGTCCTGTTATCGGTTGGAATTTTCTACAAATAACACCTGTTAGTTCGTACCTATTGCGACAGCGCGACCGTTCCGGACTCCGGACTCGGCAATGGCGCGATACCAAACCGGTTTGTGTGCGCGGGCGCAGGCGCGGTGAGCGCGGGTGCGGGCTGCGGTAGACATTTACTTGACACCGTTGCCCTAGTGGTACCGAGTATTACCGCTACTTTTTCTATTTCTGGTTATGACCACAATTGGCATTACCTGAAATTTCAATAAATACTTTATAGCATTGACGTGCAGGTACGTCACAAAGCTATTTCGTACAAAAATACCTAAGTGTTCACATCACTTAAGTTATGATAAACTCCTAAAGTAAACGAGAATCTCGCGTAGCGATAAAATTAAAACTTGTACATTTGAGTACAGGTAATATTCATTAAGAACAAGTTCAAGGACTTGTTTGGCGATAATAGATGAGGTATAGGCAAATCGCCCAAAATTTTAAATCGATGACTCGGTAAACCACGGAATTTTGATCAAACACGATAGCAATCATGGAGGTACATTTCTTATAATACTATTCGATATCACTATGTATGTATCTCCTCTAATGAGAGAGAAAGGTTTAAAGGAATGATTCACATGCAAGTCTCATGCGATTTAGATACTGTACTGGGGTTGAGTAGTTAGATAGGTTTAGTTTAAATTTATTATGGATTTTATTTTATAATAGTAAATGACGGGACGAACAAGTCGTGCACCTGGTGGCAAGCGACACGTTGTCCATAACAGTTGTAGATAGATAGATAGATTACTCGTTTATTTGCTGAATCACAGTACATTACAAACAAGCTTATGACATAGGTACAATGGTAATCATAAAGAAAAAGGCTAGTCTAGGTTTGCGGGTATGATCTGGAGTGTTATGATGTGTGTCAATGTCGTGCCATTCAGAGTTTTAAATCGCAAAGATCTGAGGGGCTCTCCCACAGTGCCCGTCACCCTGAGACATAAGTTGACAAGTACCATGTGCCTGTAATTTCATCAGCATATTTCTTCAGCATAAGTGGCAGTTCATTACCTAATCAGCGGGACTCGAAGTGACTAATGTTAAGTAGCTTAAGGATTTTTTTAAATTAACTATGACGCAATTGTGTGATGTAAACAACACTTTATTAGGAGGAGTACTTTATTTATATTGTTAACGGTACGGAAAAAATCTAGAAACTCCGAATGCTAAAATAATGTTATTTCTCCTATTTCAGATTCTAGGCATCCTGTGCATGTCGCTCTCGACAGCCTTGTTCTCTCCGTGGTTCGTGTTCGTGGCAGTGACAAGCTTCATCACCACCCTTATGTGGAGTTTCGTCTACCTGCTCAGCATCCGGGAAGCTCTCAAGATCCCCGTCAATTGGGTTTTATCTGTAAGTCGAAGTTTATTATTGCAGTTAAGAGCTCTTATGCTCCAATCATCAATCAAGAGCTTTTGTTGTAGGTAGCAAACCATTAAGTTTTTAATAGCAGTAGAGCACTTTGTGAAAGAGTTTAGGGATGTATGGCCACCATACCTATTTCTGCCATCAAGCAGTAATGTGAGTGTTATTGCGTTCCCGCCTTTTTGGGTAAGGACGCTAGTGAAACTATAGGCAAATATGCCCTTCAGATTTTTGCGATTTGCAGCTCTCAGTGGCATTGCTACTGTTATAGGTAGGCGAGTCGCTTATCACCAGGTATACGACTTCTTCCCGTCATTTGGTGTCTCAAAATGGGCTCTGAGGACTTGGATCGTTGAAAATAAATGGGTTGAAAATAAGGGGCAAAAAACACTGAAAATCACAGGTGTATTGCTTCTAAGTACTTACAATAAACTTTTAAGGACTCATTTCTCTTATAAATATTTAAACAACTTTTATATTACTTACATAGAATTTTTAAAATTAGGTATAACGTTATTCGCATTGCTATAAATACTTTACGAGGAAAAACAGCTTTCGAAAATATCAATAACCTAAATCTAATTTCAAATGGGAATTGTACGTACATTGCATCATTACGGTTTTTTCTCTATCTTAGTAAACATTGTATTTATACACGATATTTTTTTTAATTACAGGAGCTAATTAGCGTTGGTGTGGAGGCTTTCTTCTACTTGACTGCGTTCATCGACATGTTCGTCAAGACAGCACAATACTACGGGCCTGCCCACGGCAGTAACGTGGCAGCTGCTGTAAGTCCAAATACGCCTGAACATTGGTTATACAGGCTCATAGACTGAACAGATTATATGTTGTGGCGTAGCCAAGATCATCAGAGTCTCTACTAAATGTCGTTTAAAAACGTAAAAATATGACTAGTTGTTCTCTATGTTCCTCCTACAAAGTCGTTAAAAACCAAAAACAAAAACTAATTAATAAAAACAAATTCGCTCCCTAGACCAGTTGGGAGACCGTCAGGCATGGTATGCTGAAGGCGCTGGTTCGAATCCAGCCGGATCGAAGGAATTTTTCTTAGTGTGAAATTTTTGTATTATTAATTATTTTTGTGTATTACTTGGTACTTGGTACTTGGTGCAACGGGCTGGTATCTGCAACTCGACGACAAGGCGCCTATTTTGTGTATTAATAATTTAGTTGCAACATTCACACAAATCTGTTTAGGTCTATGAGTGTAAAGTAAAACTATGTTAATGCTTTTGTAACTATTAAATAAATAAACAAATAACAAATAAGTGGAGTAGTTTCACAAAAAAATTGAATATCATGGCAGTAAAACAAAGTGAGATTATTGGATCTTAATAAATCCTCCTCTCAAAATTATATTGGGTCGAATCAGTACAATACAGAGCCACTGTCTATGAGTAAAAAAAAAGAAATGTAGCGCATCTCAACGAGGAATAGCTCAGTACTTTCAATTAGTAGCTCTTTGAAGTAATTGTTCAATTGGTAACGTTACTCGCGTTAAATTAATAGAGTGGTACTGCATACGGGACGAGTGAGAAAGCTTACATTTATGGGAGTCTATTATTGAATAACAAATACCCATCATTTTCTATCGCTGTCAGCCATTGGAATGTGACATGTGGAATATGTGAGTTATCAACAGATAACTCACATATTAATTTAATTAAACTAACAAGTTTAGTTAATAAGTTCACTAACTTGATATATCTTGAGTTTCTTTATAACAATTAGGGCATTCAGCTTCATAGCATTTCCGCGTCACGGGAAAAAATAATCGGGACTCGCCGCGGTCTCGAAAATGCTGGGAAAAACGAGACCATATATTTATTTATGATAGATGTACCAACATCATTATAATAAATATTGTAAATATACTTAAATAAGTAACAACATTAGCCAAGATTATAATTCTGATACACAAGCCTTACAAGCCAATCATAGTTGAACAAAACATACAGTGACAAACTACCAGAGTCTAAGTAAAGTTATGAAAACAGTAATACTATGTGTATGTATGTTAATTAAATTAAATTAAAAATGAAAAGTAACAAACAACAGTCCAACGAGGTCCCAAATATGTAAGATAGTACAGACTTTGCAAGGGAATCAAAAATACTTACATATTGAAGTGAGTGCGGCAAACACGAGAAACAGGGGCACGCTCAATGTTATTGGTTCTACAAGCCGGTGTATGGAACAATAGTGTGATGGGTTTCCGGGGCAAATTATGTGGAATTGAGAGTAAAACGCGTGAATGTAAAGTATTAAAGGTCCCATAACGCATTTGTGAAGAAATAGTGCATCATGTACCTAACTACGAGTGCGACGACTATTTCAAAAGTAGGTTTTCATATTTGTAGGCTACGTATTTAAGCAGACGAAACATGGTATTTTAGTCAAGTTCTTTGTTCTCAAACTATAAAATTTTAAATTATTGATTACTTAGGGTTTCGAGATTGTTACGTATAGGAAATGAAACTATTTTTCCGGATTTAAGTCGCGTACATTTGTTTTTTCAAACAAACCAACGTTTCGGGACCTTTGCAGGTCCCATGGTCACGGTTGACAGCGATTTAAATCCGGAAAAATAGTTTCATTTTAAAATGTTTAAATCCATTTATGAAAGGGGCGTTTAATATAGTTCCAGGTAGAGAGGATCTGATTTCATTAATATCGTTCTTCAATCTTCATAGATTATATTAAGCTTCTACAGTGTTGCCATATCCGTGCTGGTTTCAAAGATTTTTAATACTGTTTAGTTAAGGGCGCGTTCCCATTACATCGTAACGTTTTATATATCGTCTGACGACAGGCGCGTCTAGCCTGTTCCCACATCACCACTATCGGTTGTGACTGTGTCGTGGACGTTCATTTTATTGTTGTACCATTGTCGTGTCTAGCTATTCCCACGAAACAAGTGACGACAATTCATCGGTTCACGGCAGCTGCCTTCTCGTTTGCGCGATAGTCGCATTTTCGTCGTGATGTTTATTATTTACAGACTGACGACTGTCGTTCTACCTCCTCCCATTGTCACGACAGTCTGTCGTTGTAACGTCTAAAAAGTCGTGAACGACAATTGATCGTATGGTACTATGTGTGAACAACTTCATTTAAATATACAAGACACAACACTTTAAACTGCACGACTATCTGTCGTCACGATACAATAGGGACGCGCCCTAAGACTCGAAATTTTCAAGACCGAGGTTCCCGGGAAGAAAGCCCTATTGACATTACAATGTAGCACAGTTAATTAGTGAACCTACCCGAATTCCGTTGTCTATCTACATAACATCTTTTTTCTTGCAGGTGTTTGGTATTTTCAACTGCTTGGCGTATATAGCTAGCGCATTGTTGCTGTACAGGGAACACAGGAACACCGTTCAGACGAATGCGTGAGGACGGCGGAACGGCGCGGGCGCAGGCCCACGCGACCAAACAGCACGCGACACTGGCGTGCCTCCAGCTAACAACTCAATTTTTCACTTGTCTTAACTACATGAAAATCGCGTAAATAAGGGTTCTGATTTTTTCATTGCAACGGTACCCTAGAAATCAAATGACTTTAAATAAGAAATCAAACATTATATACAAGTAGATTCACATTGAAAATAAAATTCATATAAGTCTGCACAAAAGTAGAGGCCATATTGCGAGGAAACTGTCGGAAACCATTTTGAAAAACAAATTTAAGTTATGATGCAATTGAAAGTTTTGTTCAAATATTTACTACTTTTAGTAAACATTTTATTAAAGTGTAAGTCACGTTTTCATAATTATAATGAGAAATAAAACACATCTCTATATAAAATTAATTATTTATTAAACACTTTGACACATATTTTGATATGATTACTAAACCAATGCGTTTTAACCTGTTAGACAATCCGAGCCGAATTAATTAAAACAAACGAATTTAAATTGAATTTTTGTAATAATTCAAAATAAGTACGTTCTTACAAACTCTCGATTTTAAAACGGATATCACTTTTGACAGTGACACTTAAATGACACACACTGCGTTCCGTTACATTCGCTAATTTCAGTCAAATCGGATAAAAACGGAATGTGTATTACAAGTTGTTTCAAAAATGTTTCTACTTCGTGCCTCTGTTCCATACCAGAATATGTTGTTTGTTTAGAATTTACTATATTATATTATATTTAATTTTTTTTTCACCGTAAAGGAAAAGGCAAAGGTTTAAAACCACACAGCTAAGTCTTACAGTTTTTAGTGACGTTTTCTGTAGTCATTGAGGACGTGATATTCTTTCAAAATCGAGAAAATGATAAAGCGTACGAAATGCGGCTCCCTGGGAGATCCGCCTTAAATCGGCCGTCCTCAAAAACAAATGGCCATATGTGAAACAAATGTATAATTTCAGATAGTTTCATGTTTTACGTGTACTATTTGATATATTATAACTTTCTTTAATGAAGCAGTTTATAAATCTATTCATGTTTCTAAATTGCAGCTAAATTTTGGGATTGATGATGTTTGAATCTTTTTGAAATATAAAAAACAAGATACTTCAAAGTGTCTCACTTTTTTGGCACTACTTTTTTGTATCTAAGTATAGGCACTAATGTAAGTTAATGGTAATTGTAATGGTTGTTAACCTTGCTAGCCTAGTCTTTTGGAAATTAAATATTTTATTCGCATAAAGATCATTCTGTATTTTAAGAGCATCCGCTTTATCAAGCAGTTTTATGGAGCGTGAGAGCCCTATATAAAGTTGTCGGTTAAACTAACGCAAAAAAGAACCATTATGAAAAGAGCCTCGATCAACACTTTAAAAAATAATGAACAATAATTTGTTAACATTACAAAGTGCCTCCAGAAAATTTCGTACGTTCGTAGTGACTTGCACACCTGTTTTCATGGTGTCACCATCTCTGAGGTGCCGGGTTTGATCCCCAGCCGGGTCAGTGTAGAAAAAGTAACTTTTCTATGTTGTCTCAGGTCTGGGTGTTTGTGGTACCGTCATTGTTTACGATTTCCATAACACAAGTGCTTTAGCTACTTACTATGGGATCAGAACACTATAATTATGTGATGTTGTCTAATATAGTATAAAAAACAAATACGACTTTTTGCTCAACCTGGGTCAACTGAACATAGAGCTAGGCCCCAGAAAAGTAAATGCCATATTGCGAGGGAACTGTTGGAAAACATTTTGAAAAAAAAAAAAATAAGTTATGACGCAATTGAAAGTTTTGTTCAAATATTTACTATTTTTAGTAAACATTTTATTAAAGTGTAAGTTACGTTTTCATAATTATAATGAGAAATAAAACACATCTCTATATAAAATTAATTATTTATTAAACACTTTGACACATATTTTTATATGATTACTAAACTAATGCGTTTTAACTTGTTAGACAATCCGAGCCGAATTAATTAAAACAAACGAATTTAAATTGAACTTTTGTAATAATTCAAAATAAGTACGTTCTTAAAAACTCTCGATTTTAAAACGGATATCATTTTTGACAGTGACACTTAAATGACGCACACTGCGTTCCGTTACATTCGCTAATTTCAGTCAAATCGGATAAAACCTGTGTATTACAAGTTGTTTCAAAAATGTTTCTACTTCGTGCCTTTTTAGTGATTACAACGACTGTTGGTTCTCTTACCAAAACGATAACCAATAAAAATAAACTCCAACCAACCATACCGCACATTTACCCGCTTGAAATAACGGATGGTCTTTATGTATGCTAAGTTAAAGTAAGGTCTGCAAAAAATTATATACTTAATATATACACACATAATTTGCATTTTTGTTATAAGTATTAATCGTGTATCACTTTTTTATCCGACCGCAGCGATGCCCGAAAGTAATGTAATGTTAGGGTAATATTTTTCGGCTGGTCTACTTCGGTTGTGAAAATGGGTAAATAGCGATTTTTTGTTGCAAAGTTTATAACAACGCCACTTCATTTACAATCCTGTTTTGACTTATTTGCGTCCAATTGCAGGGAACGTTTGTTTTTTTTTAGAAGACGTTTGAAGTTTAAGAACTGCAGGAAGCCACATAGCGAGTTTAATCCAATAAGGTATCATACAAATACCGTAAATTTATTGCTTTTCATTAGAATTAAGAAACAAACTTTGGAAATTAAAACAGTAATTCAGAACATAACGAAACTAGTATTTAGAAATCGGGTGCTAGAGAGAAACGGAGTTGAACGGGGCCCCATGATCGATAGTGTGTTAATGGCAGGATTTTGAACATCTGGTATTCTGCTAAAAGTTAGGAGTAGTCGCTTGTCAGTGGCTAGCCGTTGAGCTACTATTCAACTGCTATTGCAGTTTTTTGATGTTCTGTTCTTTCACGGGGAGTCGACGGCACGCCTACGGCGTAGCGTATTAATAATATTATATTATATACAATGGCAATGATTGCGTATTCATACATTCAATTGATCGATGTCACCTTACTAAAAATTACCACGGAAATTATTATATATTATATTTATTATTATATATATTTGTGTATATATATACATAAAAATATCAAATCATATCACAATTGCAATAATCTCAATGGAATTACAATGACTAGTGGTTTCGAAAAAATTCGCCGAATTGGACCCCGGGGTGATAGTTGTTTGTGACGTCAGTTCCTACCTATCTGTAGTCCGAAATGGCATTTTCCAGAAATAATGTTTGCCCGAATTTCCTTAACCTCGAAAGTAATTTTGAGAGGAAAATGTTTTTTCTTTTAAACCTAACTTAACCGAACCTACTCGTGTCTTTGCGATAAACGTACAACATATACTGAAAGAACAACGGTTTCGTTACAATTCGGTTCTCGGTATAATGAAAACTCGAACAAACGTTATTTCGGAAAAAAAATTCGAGTTTGTGATAGGTTACCACTTTAACCATTAACATCACCGAAGACAAATTTCAGATTCATTTCCGGTATATTCACACACATGAAATAAAAAATTTTGGACCCTTCTTATTACAAGTGGAATACGGTTGAATTGAAAGTGTCAAAATTTTAACATACTCTTAACCGTGTACAATAAAAAATGTAGATGAAACTATTTTTTTTGGACATAGATTGCGTGTATATGTTTTTAAACGAAATCAAAGTTTCTGGATTTATGCAAGTCGCATAGGTCACTGCTGACTGAGAAGGTATTCGTTATCAACCAGTTACGTCTAATTTTAATTCAAACCACCATATTTTGAACAATAGTTAAAAAAATATTACAATTTGGTTTATTTGAAAAAATAAATACAAGCGATTTCAATCCGAAAAAGTGTTTTGTTCGTTTCCGATGGCTAAATACTAAGAAATCGATAAAAATATAGAGTCAAATACCTTATTGGAATGAACATTGGGACTGGATTTGGAGAAACTTATTGATTGCACGTTTATTTTCTAAGCAAGAGTCCAAAACCTAATAAATAAGAGAAGTACCTATATACAAATAGACTAAAGCTTATAATATATAATGTATTACTTATTTGTCACAAGAAGTGATTGCTAAACATTGTTATATGATCTAAATTAGCTTTTCAAGTTCAATAACCTTTTCTGCGATCTTGTAACTTTTTCCAGGTTTGTTTGATTTTTTATACTTGTTTATATAACTTATTATTGTTATAGATTTAAAGACAGTAGGTTTTTTGGGAATGGTGCGTTAATTTCTTACCTCAAAGTATTATCGTAAAGATTTCAAAATAGATTCTTTTCAGGAAGAACTGTACATAAAAAATATGACGAAAACATTATGGCATCTCAATAATATAGTAAACCGGTATCTAGATGCAAGAACAACCATTTAAGTACCTGTAGAGCTCCGTTTGAAAGAGTTCGTCCTGAAATTACTCAATGTAATAATTACCTATTTCGTATACATACCTACATAAAACTTGTATTACTTTTAATAATGTATTTCAAGAATCATAGGTGTTGTTAAAGTACTGAGATATTTAAAATGTGTTGAGTCGAATGGGAATTGTTAATGTAAGAGGGAATTATACATGCAATAGTTAATTTAACTAATTTGTATAAAGTTAATAAATATATTTTAACATAATTTATGTTATACTTCTTTTATTTATGTAGTAAATGTTAAATATTTGTTAGTTCTATACAAATATCTGGTCAAGTCATGGTCAACAGAAGATAAAATAATCTCAGTACAGAGTACTAAACAAACCGACCTCATAAGTACGTGGAATTACATATAATTACCAAGTTATATTGAAATCGGTTAACGGAAAGTGCGCAAACCCGGATTCATCACCTAGTTCGCCATTATACGGGACTTGACACAGGAGATAATAAAAATCGGTTCTCACTACTCAATGTCTATTGAGATAAAAACGCCTTGAATTGAAGAATAGCAAAATCAACCATTAAAATAATTGCTCCTTATAATAAAATTTAGGCGCTATTTATAAAAATGAATCTTCATGCGTAAACAGCCACCCTTAGAGGTGGACGATTTTCTTCAACATTAAATAGGACCACTATGGAGGTACCTTCTTTCCAACAAAAAAAGAATCATGAAAAATGGTTCACAAATATCGGAGTTATCACGTAACGTACATATAAAAAAGTGTGTGATTTAGAGCTCTAAGAACTGCAACTGTTATAGACAGGCGTGTCTTCTACCATCAGGCGCACGCTTAGTTCGTTCCGTCTCTTGGTACCAAAAAAATAAGTTCTGTGCTATTGTCACAATGTTATTGTGATATTAAAAATGGTGGTGTTTATGTTGTCACCTGAAGATTTTGCACGACACATGTTTGTGTTTTGATGTATAAGCGGTTATATTCCAACAAACGTCACATTCACGATGCAGACTCAGAACTTATTATAGGTAGGTACTGTAGTGGGAGACCAACACCTGGATGTTATCGTCTTTTTTAAAAATACATTTCTCTCTTTCTTGCGTGAAAGAGAGTGATTAAGCTGGAGGTGATTCAGACATATGCCATTGACCTCATTTAGTTTCGCGAAAAAGAACCAGCATGGCTGTATTTGCACTGACAAACACGATATGAAAATATAGGACTTAGTATTTTGAAGTACTTTCACAAGTGTGTACGCAGTTAATGTGTGAACGAGTGTTTTCGTGCCTATTATTGAATTCTCATTGCATTTAAAGCGCGTGCGAAGAAAGGATGGCGCTTGTTTCAAGCAACTATAGTCACTACAATTCCTCTTTTACACCCAGTAAGTACTAAACGAAATCTATATCGGAGCAGATTTTTATTTCCAATACGAAAATAGACCTTTTGCATGCTAAATATTAAAAGCAAACAGTACTGCACCTTTTTATTACGTTATTTTACTCTACTGTTACAGCTCAAGAAGTCGGGTTAGGTTAAATTTCCATAGCAACGAAAAACGTAGAGTTAATGTTAGATGAAGTGCCTTTAATCTTGGATATAGAAATATTTGCTGCGTCTGTTTAAAAACCTATTTACTAATGAACGTGGTTACAATGGTTGGTCACATAAATGTTATAGGTATGCTTGTTTACATACAGTTAACCACTTGGCTGGATTTTAAATTAAAACGTTTAGATAATTTTGACATTGTTTGTTTGAATTTTTCAATGAAGTAGTGTAATGGATGAAGAACTACGTGCCATAGCACCTGTCAGACATAGATTGATAAGACTCGTGTGACTGTAATTTCACCGCCACAATTACCTTACAAAACCGAAACGCAGTAATGCTAACATTACTGTTTGGTTTCGATGAAAAAAAAAAAAAGGATTTGGATCCGAATATAATTACATTTCCAATGTGTAACAATCGCAAAAACGTAACAACGCAATAGGTACTAATAATCAACTATTTACAATTATCTTTGACTCTTCTTTGGACCTCTTTGCATGCTCGGAAGCCCATTTTACGGTTTCCGCGGGACGATATCTCGAGGTATTGACCATAGACAGTAACATCATATAAGTATTGTGCATCCCGAATAATTAATACTATGTCAATGTTTTAAAATTTGATTGTTGACAATGTACTTGCGATATGTCCAATTCCATGATTTGTTCTTTTTATCTAATTTTTATTCAGTTTATTTTATGCAATATATAAAATTCAATGATTTGTAAAACTTTCATTCAATTTATTTTGTATCAATTCTTTATTAAATATGATTACATTATTATTTCAATCTATGATATTAACTTATGAATTACTATTGTGTTTGGATATTAATCTGTAAGCAATATGTAATATAATAAATAAATAAATCAATCAATGTTCGTCCGTCTAAACTATATTTCTGTACCTTGTATTGCCTTATGGTGCTTATGGCGTAAAATAAGTTCTTCGAGTAGTCTACTCCTATTCCTTATTTTACCTTGGGTAATAAATCAAAAACGCTGAAACATTGTTCATTTCTTATACAAAGGCATAAATATAAATTTTCAGATTCGTTACTTGAGAAATGATTGGTTCTCCATACAAACTTTAATTCCCTATTTCACACCATTTAAAATTTATTTTTGTGACAAAAAGTAGCCTATTTCCTTACGCTAGGTCGCATCTATCTCTATACCAAAATTTATCAAATTTATTCCAGTGGTTTAGGCGTGAAAACTGTACAGGCAGAGTTACTTTCGCTTTTATAATATTAGTTTACATATCGACTCGTGTCGAGAAAAGAAGGTACTATTCAGTATTGTACTCAGAGTGTTATATCTATAGTTTTAGCGCATGCGTAGCGTAAGTAATGAGTCAACTGCGACGAGGTTCAACATTGGCTCAACAGTTGACTTTATTGACTGCTCGTGTTTGCCCGCGTTTTTCGTAACACCAAGTTTTTATTTCGAGTTTAACGCACTTTTTGATATTCATGTAAGTAAACTGAAGTAGTTCATAATGGGAAGTTTATACCTTAGTGAATGAAGTGACATTTTTTATTTTAAATTCATGTGTTAGTATATACTATGTAATTTAGTATATTATAATAGCTTTCCAGAAATAGAGATTACATGAGTAAAGTAATGATAAAAATCGGACAAGATATTCTTGATAAAATCGTGCATGTTCGGGCCACCTCCCTTTTTTAAGCAGTATAAAAGTGGCTTACATTGTATTATTAATATAATTAGAGTTTCATTATCATAACTACCCACGTCAATTTTTTGGAGACGATAACGTCATAATAAGAGCGATAAATGAAATGAATGCATTTTAAACATTTCATAATTTCTTTTAAAATTAATATGATTTACGCAGCTTAATAAAACAAATTATTTATTGAAGTTTAAGGTTGAAATTTATTTCCTGTTTAACTTCCATTGAATAACATCATTGCTTATGTGTAAAAATAGTGCTTACTTCATTGTTTTATGGGTTGCAATAAACTTCAGATTGCAAGGCGAAGAAATGGCTCATTTCCCATAAATAAATAATAAGAGTAATTTGTAGAACTAGTGAGGAGTAATAAATATTTAATTCCATTAATTAAATACCTATCCTAGGTTATTTTTTTTATTGTTTGGGTTGTTAGCCTAAGATTCTCAATAGACATTTTATGTAATTTTCAAAAGCAAACTTTTTTAAATTTATTAAGTGACGGGACAAACAAATCGTGCGCCTGGTGGTAAGCGACACGTCAACACGTAACAGTTGCAGTGCTACTCAGAGGTTTAAATGGCAAAGATCTGAGGCAGCACTGCCGTTGCGTCCGTCATCCTGATACACAAGTTGAAAAGTCCCATGTGCCTGTAATTTCACCAGCACCCTTCCATTAAACGCAGAATGCTCCAAATAATTGCTTGGCGGCAGAAATAGGTAAGGTAGCAGGCCTTCCCTAGACGAACTCTTTCCGAGTTCTACTGCTGCTACGTTAGTAGATGCATGCTCTTTTATAAACACAGTGTAAGAAAATGATTCTACCCTGTTACAGCTAATGGTTGTACTCGTGTTACCAAAATTTCTATATCCATGTTTAGCCAAAATTCTTTTTTTTTATAACATCAAGTGACGGCACGAACTAGTGGTGCGCCTGATGGTAAGCTACACGCCTGTCCATAACAGTTGCAGTGTTACTCAGAGCTTTAATTCGCAAAGACCTAAGATGCTCTGCGACTGCGCCCGTCACCCTGAAACATAAGTTAACAAGTCCCAAAAAGTCATGTGATAATCATGAATCTATTTGGAATTTTTGCGTAGCCACAAAAAATCTGCGTTTATTTCTTCTTCTTACCGTATCGATGGCATACACTAGAAGGCTGGCCATCGTGGTGGACTGAACACTATAAAGTGATAATTAAAAAACCAGAAGGAGAAGTGAAGGTCAAGGCTGATTACTATGAAGTGTAGTAGTATCTAACTTCTACATTCATTCAAGTGCTACGCGGAGCATAAGTCTTCACTGTGGTGACGGTATTTAGGCATTAGGTATTTAGGTCTCTACATACTCACGAAGAACATTGTAAACCGATAAAGGTGTGCAAGTTTTTACTTGTAGTTTTCCTGATGAGCTGGCGTAAATAGAAAACAAATATATTATCTTTATAAATATAGTGTAAATAAATACCTATTGTTAAAGAACGACTCTTACTTCTATGTAATAATATTACATAATTCTATTATAGAAAAACCAAAAGTATTCACTATAACATAAAAATAAAAAATATGGAACAATAGGTGACAAATGCTAACACCCAATTGCACAAATGTCCTTGATGTTACAGTAATATGCTTCATCTAGTTTTTCTTTAAGGAAAAGCTATTAAAATTATGAATCGTTTCTTCATATTAAAAAATGTTAGTAGTACATAAGGGCTACCCCTGAACGTCAGTGATGTTATTATAGGGTAATTCTACCTATAGAAAGCAACTTTTAGTCTCTGAACCCCTCTGAACCCATAAGACAATAATAAGATATTCCATACATTACACTATCCAGTAATATAGTATAAGCTGTATATTAATAATGGAGCGGTAAATTGAAACTACACTGTCACGTGAAATGCAGAGAAATTTGTAAATTGACCAACGTGACGTGAAGTGCACGAGCTAATTTCAAGTGACCATTTACTTTTTAAACTGATCTCAAGACTGATCTCAAGGCTGTTATATCGCCTTGTTATACTGAATTAAATTCACGCTTATTTATTACATTTAATGTCCCGTACAATGTAGTAGGAAATTCAAACTGATTTACCACGTGGCTGATATTACTCTTATCATATTAAGAAAGTCGTTTATTTCCTTTTTCGATTTCCGATTTAGATGATCCTTTTTTTGTTGGAAAGAATTATGTTAAATTTGAATAAAATATTCCACCTCTAAGGGTGGCAAACTAGGGGATGAATCCGTTTTCGCGTACTTTTCGGTAACCGATTCCAATAAAACTTGGCAAATAGATGTAATTCCATGAACTTTTGAGGTCGGTTTTTTAGTACTCAGTATATATTTATAATCGGCATCCTCTAACTGCCTCCGTGTCCAAACGGTTACCATGCCGGACTGCCACGTAGAGGTCCCAGGTTCGATACCCGGGCCGGGAGAAATATTTGTATGGCCTACATTTATTTCTCTCGTGAGTTTGGGCGTTATTTGTGGTTGTCTATGCGTGTGTCCATGGCACCCGCGACACAGGGTTTCCCTAGTGCGGGGCTATGTTGAGTGTGTGCGTTATTATTATTATAAAAAGTCCACGGCTAAGCAAAGGTCTTGTCTTTCATACGCCATTCTTTTTCATTCTGTGCTAATCGTCAACATTGTTTGCCCGCAAATTTAAAAATATGGTACTGTTGGCGGTCTGCCTATTATCCCCTAATCCGTATTTACATCTTGACTGACTCCTATTTAAGAAAATAAATTGAATGTTTTAAAATCCTATAATTAATCATCTCAAAAAAAAACGTCTTATTACGAAAATTTCCAAGTCATCAGCGACTTTTAAATTTCAGAGGCAAAGAACTCATAATATCCGATTGCTAGGTTTCTGTTACATATAGATATAAGGATAATAGGGTAGAAGATGTGACACATTAATATGAATCATATTACCCTCCCCTAGTCTAGACATCTCGAATCGATCGCTTTCGTCTCGACAGGGATGGGTTTCAAAAAAATTTTTCTTTATAGATTTTCTTTACCTTCCGCTTATTAATTTACTAAGTGCCATAGGGAAAGAAATCTCTCGTTGAACAAAGCCTATTGGTCAAAATTTACAAGGTTTGTAAAATTTCATGTATACAAACGAAATACTTTTTTATTATAAAGTTATAGGCCGCTATTAATTCCATATATAATTTTTTTTAATCGATGGTAGCAAAACGAAAAAGCTGTTAAACCCAAAAAGTTAGTGAGATTTTTCTTTATTTTCTGCATATAAAAATTATTTTTCTTCTTGGTCATTTTTGCATGGCTATGCTAAATAATAATGTCTGTAAAATCTAACTCCGCTACTTTTTTATTACTGAAAAACGATAAGAAATGTAGTAGGAAACAAAACTATTTTTCCCGTTTTAAATCGCATATATTTGTTTTTTTTTAAACAAATCAACGATTCGGGCCCTTTCCAGAGCCCATGGGCTTCACGGTTGACTATAGGTCCTGTAAAGGGCCCGAAATGTTGGTTTGTTTGAAAAAACAAATATACGCGATTTAAATCCGGAAAAATAGTTTCATTTCCTATGTGTAACAATCGCGAACACCTAAGAATTCTAAGCGTAGTTTTAGTTTCATTATAACTGATTTTTATTTAAATACGTTATAATAAACAGATAACTTAATATGTTTATTTTTTGTTGTTACAAATCCCTGCAAGTAAGCGACCCTTAGCATTACAAAGTTTAGTTATTATGTAAATATAGCTGTTTATTGCACCCTATTTCATTTGTCTGTACCTTGGGTAAATGATTCATACAAAAGTACCCCATGGATCTTTCATGAAAATATTTATAATTAAGATCGTCTTTGTATAGTGGTAGATGACGACTTTGTGTAGATTCGTAACCATTAGGGAGGCATTTAGAGATTCATGACAGTTACAGTCCAAGCCCTCTCATTTTAAGAGGAGGCCTGTGCCAATTAGTGGGATTATTTGATTATTATTTTGGATATTTATTGTAGATTTTCACATCTCCTATGGCCTTCAATATAAATTTTGAATTTTGACCGAGGTCAGGGACTCAGGCTCAAAAACCAGCAAACAATACGTGCCGTAACAGGACTGCTTTCTGCATTTGTGCTGGAAGTGACACGCCACAGAAATCCAAATTATTATTATTAAGATTTTTACAAGTTTACAAAATTTTAATCATGTCAAATTCTAATTGAAAATCATCGCCGTAAGTGTTCTTGTGTTTGACTATGATTATATAAAGCGACGGTGAGAAAACAATGGTACCTACATTGCAAAAATATGCATCAGATGGCATTCACTTAGTCTCAGTGTACGTGCAAACCATGTATGTTATGTATTCTCGGCAGTCGTCGGCCTCGGCACACTAACGTGGCGTCATGGCTTGTGGACCGCCAACACGTTGACCTAATCGTCCATTTTCGGAGATGATTACCTACTCTGTCGCAGTTAGGTGTTATTCCGTTGTTGTAGTTATAGTGATAATAAAAATTGTCCATGGATTTGGCCTTGAAAATATGAGGTACTTAACCAAATCATTAAAAATATTCCAGAATTTAATTTTAAATTTTGCTTGGCATAAATTAATAATAAAAACCAACCTCAAAAGTTCGTGGAATCACACCTATTTGACAAGTTTTATTGAAATCGGTTACCGAAAAATGCGCGCAAAAACGGATTCATTCCATTGTTTGCCACCCTTAGAGGTGGAATATATTCTTCAAATTTAAATGGAAATAATACTGAGCTACCCTCTTTCCAACAAAAAAGAATCATCAAAATCGGTTCACAAATGCCGTGAGTTATCGCGTAACATACACACAAAAAAAAAACAGTCGAATTGAGAACATTCTTTTTAGAAGTCGGTTAAAAAGGCGTGGTAGCCTAATGGTTTGACCTGCCGCCTCTTGAGCAGAGAGTCGTGGATTCTTCGAAATTTATATGTGAGATTTAATTTGAAATTTAACATGAGCTTTTTGGTGAAGGAAGACATCGCGACGAAACCAGCTCTCATCTTCAAAGCAATGTGTGTGAAGTTCCCAATACGCAAAGGGCTCGCGTGGGATCTACAACCTAAACCCATTTTTGTAAGAGGGAGGAAGCCTATGTTCAGCAGAGGGACCATATATAACCGTAAATACGCAAAGGGTACAATATAACAACGCGTTCAGGATGTTGTTGGGGTTATTGCGGCACTGTAGCGCTTCAGGCATTCAGCGGGTTGCCTCACTTTGGCGACGTGGGCGTGGTTGCCCCAAGAGCTTCTGAATGTTGTGGCGAACAGAATCGACTGCCCCATCCAGGCTCATTGGATGTAACTCCATCTGGCGGCTTAGTTTGAGTTTATTTTATTTTATGCGTGATAATCAATTTCAATATTATATTTAATGTAATATCCAAATCTTAATTCCGTTATTGAATTTTAATTTTAATTTATGATTTTATAGTCTTTGAATTTTAATTTATTTTAAGTTTGAATCGCTGCCTTCGCGCACTTAAATAGAAAATGCAATTTTATCTTATTTTATTTTAATTTTAATATTTGAATTGTATCACTATATATATACTAACTTTATTACTTAGTTGTTTATAACAAATTATAGATAATTATTTTTGTCTGAAATAAAATATTATTATTATATAAGCTAACTGTTATTATTTTTTATTTTTACATACATTATTGAATTTATAAGATACGACAAAAGATTTCGCTCTTCAACTTTCCTCGTTAAAACACCGGTGGCACTTAGTATATTATTTACCACTAACTAACCAGTTATTTGGCATTTGCTTCTTTCTAGTGGCATCCAACATGTCCCACACGGTAACTATCACACGTACCACCACTTCCAACACGGGCACCGCCGTGCTGGTAAATACCGGTTTCCTCGGTTCTACACCTGGACTTCTCAAATTGGCGCAGTTGGTAAGAAGCTTTTTATATAATATGAAGTATGCAATAAGTACGTAGACTTCTTCTTATCCTATCGATGGTATACATTATATTATAGCGGCTCAGAACTTTGGCACTCTGATCACGCCATAAGTAGCCGCCATGCTGAAACAGTCACCCCGATGGCAAACGTGCACAGGCATGGGATATGTTTGCCATCGGATGAAAGGATTTGTCAATCGGCATATGATACCCACCATTGTTGCATAGGGTGCACCAGAGGTAGGTGTAACTAGGAGTATTTGTACGCCATTGCGAGGAGACTCCTTTCGGGCACTCCCTAGGATGAGAAAGTACTTATAACTTGAACTGCCTCCGTGGCCGAACGGTTACCATACTGGACTGCCACGCAGAGATCCCGGGTTCGATTCCCGGGCCGGGAGACATATTTGTATAGTCTACATTAATTTCTCCCGTGAGTTTGGATGTAATTTGTGGTTGTCTATGCGTGTGCATGGCACCCGCGATACAGGGTTCCCCTAGTGCGGGGCTATGAGTATGTGCGTTATTATTATTGTTATATTATTTATTTTTATGACATTTAAGTGCTTTATGTGTTTACCGCTGTTTAACTCGACTTGTATACTATAACAAGTGCCGTTGCCCAGTCGTAATTATTTTTATGCTCGTTAACTTCATGTCTGCTGTTGCTGCTGACTTCCTTTAGCACTGTCTTGTTTTATTTTATAAAGGTATATTTACTATCTTGCTTTTGCAATAAATGCCCTGAGCATATTAAAAAATCTTTATTGAGAGTAAAGAGTGTTTAATCTTAATGTAAACAAGTGATCTTAGAAGATCAGTAGCTACCCGGCGCAGTGGGATGTGTAATAGGTTGATTTATGTGTATTTTATTTGTTTCTCCGAATATTTAAATAATATTACATTACTTGTTTTCTTCACACCCCTAAACCTATATCGATTTATTGCAGCGCAATCCTCTTATAATCCTATCATATCATACACGGCAAGATAGTAACTTCTTACAGAGTATTTAACTGATGAAATTAAAAAAAGATGTGTTTCACAATAAAATTCCAAATAATTTTTTAATATAAAATTATAATATTTCTTATATTATGTATTAATTCCTTTCAATCTTAGCTCTCTCTTTTCTCATCATCTTCTTTCCTTTTGTGGTTTTCCTCCCGTCGGTTTCCTAATTTTTTTTATTCATTGAGGGTTTGGCTAAAACATGAATTATTAAAAGTAGATCTGTTTCCTTACCTTTTATGTTAATATTAGCACAAAATATTAAAGTGCCACTTAGTATAAAACAATTGAACGTTGGTAGCAAAATGATGCTGATATTTTTATGTAGTAAAAACCCTTGTATTTAAATTTCTGGCGGCTATAGATTGCGGTATTTTAATCCAGGCGTGATATGTTACACAATGCGTGTATTTACGGAGTAACGTAAATGTAGGTCATCATCACATCGGACTGCTGGTGCTGGAAACAGCGATTTTATTCGAAGAGTATTTTTAGTTAACCCAATGCATTATTTTTGTGTGGGAAATGTTCAACAAGATCTTTAAAGAGAATTGCGTTTGGCCCTTATGAATAATGCAATGAGTTGTAGTTCAATAAGTAGAATTTTGCTATTAATAACACTACTAGTGTAACAATAAAAATTCTCAGTCTATTATTGTGTCCTCAAAAAAAAAATCCGGTTAGTGTTAGACACAATGACAACAAAAAATATGTTTAGAGAGGAAGTCGCACAAAAAAAATTTGCAGCGAACTTATTTCTTTTCTGTAAATAAAATATTTTGGAAATAATATATTTTTCACTTCTCATGCTCTTAAAGTTTGTATTTATGCTGAGTGTAGGCTGCACAAAATAGGATTTTATGCTCTAGTGCATAAAATACAAAAAACCATTACATTAAATACGTGTAATTGTTGTAATTTTACATTCAATTTTAATTAAATAATCGTTTATTTGTAAAATTGCTGTTTAATCGAAGTAATCGCCTCGCAATCGAAGTAAAACCCATTTTATCCTCGATTTAAGTATCCACTCTCGCCTGTGGCTCGGATGGATATACTCGTTTCCGGTACAATGATGCGTTTTATGTACTTGTTGTACATGTACTATTATTGCAACTGCACCGTGTGCATTACTTTTACTATTTTTCGCTTTTTTTTTGCTTTCTTTTTCTTATTAGATTTCGCACCCTTAAGAGTAATAAGGTTATATCTGTAAAATGACAATTATTCAGGACAGCGGCTTAAAGATTCTATGAACATAATTTGTCGATAACTGCCTCCGTGGCCGAATGATTACCATCCTGGTCTGCCACGCAGAGGTCCCAGGTTCAAGTCCCGGAACGAGAGAAATATTTGTATGGCCTACATTTGTTTCTCTCGTGAGTTTGGGAGTCATTTGTGGTTTCTATGTGTGTGTCCATGGCACCTGCAACACAGTTTTTCACTAGTGCGCGGCTATGAGCGTGCATATCGATAAATTTTTTATGCTTAAAAATAGGAGTGTTATAAAATTTTACATCTTATACGAAAATTTGTTTCATTTAGTTCATATTGTTTTTATGACTTTTATGCTATAAAAGAACTTTTGACTTACGATCACATGTGACTTTACAACACCAAAGGTACTATTTTATTTTTAAAACATAATGCAAAACGTGAAATGGAATAAAAGTTAATTCACAGGAGTCTCAGATGTTCGGCAGTTGATATAACAGCTCTTGTTTAGCCATGTATGATGCTCTACTAACTTTAATAAATTGCTTATAGTGCATGAGTTACATACATTTACCTCACCATTAAAAGCGGTTACACACGGCGATTTTTAGCAGCGATGCAGTCGCTAATCGTCTACCTTTACACATACGCGCGATTTTGAGCAGCGATGCAAGCGCTCGACTGCATCGATACAAACGCGCGATTGCATCGTTACACTTGGGATTTATAGGCGATTACATCGATGTAAGCGCGCGACTGCATCGATACAAATTGCAAGTGCTGCTAAAAGTAGCCGTGTGTACTCTTAGAAGCAAAGCAGAAGTATTACTAAACTAAAAAACACGATAACAATTCTGCATTCAATTTCATAACCAACAAATTTGCATTTTGGTAACTTTCGAAATATTGGCACCTAAAGTTTTTTTACTTTGAAAAATATCACTTACACTGATTTTACTTAACAATAAAACTGAAACTAAGTAAGATATAAAAAACCGGTTATAGGGGTTTGTAAATCTCATTTTGCTGATTCCAGATCTGTTAATAACTCTATTTTGATAAAAATGTCGTTTACGTTAGTTTTAGTTACGTAGAACTGTTTTTAAAGAATCTATATTTTGTATAACTTGGTAAACTATTTACTATCTTTGGCGATTAGTATATTAAGTTACTATCTTAACGATGTCGAAGTCATTAATAATAATAGTTATTACCTCACTGACCTTATAGTCCCTTGTTTGTCTTATATTTAAAACCATTTATTGGTAAATTATTCATCTCAATGTTATTTAAGTTTATTTAAGACGATAAAATTGTTTGGCAGTGAGTCCTTCCGATTTCCCTTGAAGCGATGATGTCACAGTGTAGCGTCATCCTATGTAATTACACGTATATGTGATTCGTTTATTTATGTGCAAAAGTATTTATAAAATACGTTTGCTTTATTATCCTGTTTATTTGAAGGGACCAAGTTAAAATTCGTCGTCTGAAACAAAACTGAGTGTTTAAATGTGAAATAAATTTTTAACTGCCACTATTTATTAATTGATCGGAAAATGTATTAATGTGAAAGGAATAAGGAATATTGTAAAGATGTTTTTTTAAGTTTGCTCTCATAATAGAAAACTAAAGAAAAAAAGGCATTATAATTATAAATAAAACCTACGTCAAAAGTTTGCTTATTCGCTTTCGCTGTGTTTGTTATATCTATGTGCCAAGTTTTATTGAAGTCGGTTAACGGAAAGTGATTAAGTTGCCACCTTTAGAAGTGGGATATTTCTCAAATTAGAAATTTGAAAAAGATGAACAAATACTTATTTAAGACGTTGAAAGTTAAATACGTGCTCAATAAGATGCCAGTATTGCCAAAAATTTATCAATCTATTGACTGTGTAAAATATCACGTGCCTACTTTGCTTTCAAACACTAACTTTGCATAGGAAAATTTTAGCGTGCGTACCGATCTGGCGAATGCACCACCAAAGAGCTGCATGTGTGTTGCGCGCGTGCTGCTCTCGCACTGCACGCGCGCTGCATGAATGCAGTTAAATATATATATATATACAAGTGCATTCGCCAGATCTATACGCACCTTAGAACGCATCTATTCGACACGAATTCCATCGCGCTCACACCGTGTGTCTAACTATCAGGGCAAAACACGCTCTATTTATTTAAAATTTTACGTTTTAACTTAAATGATCGTCCCGGACATGCGGGCGAGTCTGGCTTGAATTAGGTCTACGCGGCGGTCCGCGTGGCGGCCGAGTATTATTCAGAGGAATTTAAATGTTGTTGCCTAGTAAATAGAAAAGGTTTGTTTGAAAAAACAAATATATGCGATTTAAATCCGTAAAAATAGTTTCATTGCCTATAGTAAATAGAATTCAGATTCGCCATAAATGTACATGAAGGCGTGGTAACTAGGCAAATTTTTTCTCCTCGTGTAACTGGGCGCTTACAGATGAATTAAACTTTACATGGACCTCGACCTAAGTCACCTGATCTGTCGTCCTTGTCATAAATAACGCATTTACATTTCGGTAACTTTCGAGATATGGCACCTAACGTTTAATTGTCACCTTAAAAAAATGTCAATTACGCTGATTTCGCTTAGCAATAAAATTGAAACTAAATAAGACACTAAAAATCCGACTAGTTGTAGATCCAATTTGGCTAAAAAATGTCGATTACGTTTGTTATGAAAAGGAGGGCAGTGATTAATTTATCTCTTTTAAAAATATTATAAAAGAGATTGAATGAGT